GGAGTCATAGTGAACATTTGAATGGGGTTCTTATGACGGGGTCATGGTGAACCTTTGAATAGGGTCCTTATGACGAGGAGTCATAGTGAACATTCGAATGGGGTTCTTATGACAGGGAGTCCCAGTGAACATTTGAATGGGGTTCTTATGACAAGGAGTCGTAGTCAACATTTGAATGGGGTTCTTATGACAGGGAATCATACTGAACATTTTACTGCAATCTCAAGACCTTGCAGTCACAGTGAACATTTGAATGGGGTTCTTATGACGGGGAGTCAGTGAACATTTGAATGGGGTCCTTATGACAGAGTCCGAGTGAACATTTGAATAGGGTCCTTATGACGGGGAGTCATAGTGCACATTTGAATGGGGTCCTTATGACAGAGTCCGAGTGAACATTTGAATAGGGTCCTTATGACAGGGAGTCATAGTGAACATTTGAATGGGGTTCTTATGACGGGGTCATGGTGAACCTTTGAATGGGGTTCTTATGACGAGGAGTCATAGTGAACATTCGAATGGGGTTCTTATGACAGGGAGTCCCAGTGAACATTTGAATGGGGTTCTTATGACAAGGAGTCGTAGTCAACATTTGAATGGGGTTCTTATGACAGGGAGTCATAGTGAACCTTTGAATGGGGTCCTTATGACAGAGTCCGAGTGAACATTTGAATAGGGTCCTTATGACGGGGAATCATAGTGAACATTTTACTGCAATCTCAAGACCTTGCAGTCACAGTGGACATTTGAATGGGGTACTTATGACTGGGAGTCATAGTGAACATTTGAATGAGTTCCTTATGACAGAGTCCGAGTGAACATTTGAATAGGGTCCTTATGACGGGGAGTCATAGTGAACCTTTGAATGGGGTCCTCATGACAGGGAGTCATAGTGAACATTTGAATGGGGTTCTTATGACGGGGAGTCATATAGTGAACCTTTGAATTGGGTTCTTATGACAGGGAGTCATAGTGAACATTTGAATGGGGTCCTTATGACAGGGAGTCCTAGTGAACATTTTACTGCGATCTCAAGGGGTTCTTATGACAGGGAGTCATAGTGAACATTTTACTGAGATCTCAAGACATTGCAGTCACAGTGAACATTTGAATCGGGTTCTTATGACAGGGAGTCCTAGTGAACATTTGAATGGGGTCCTTATGACAGGGAGTCATAGTGAACATTTTACTGAGATCTCAAGACCTTGCGGTCACAGTGAACATTTGAATCGGGTTCTTATGACAGGGAGTCATAGTGAATATTTTACTGAGATCTCAAGACCTTGCAGTCACAGTGAATATTTGAATCGGGTTCTTATGACAGGGAGTCATAGTGAATTCACAATTTATATTACATGTACTGGACTGCAGATTGAAATTCAAAATTCCCATGATAATTCATTCCAAAAGTCTGTTTTATTGTCATTAACCACATGTGACATACAAGTAACAATGTATCTGTTCTTGTATTCTAAGGTGTCTCAAAAAATATATACACAACTTAGTTTATCTGCAGCAGTTTGGGTTAACTGTACTAGCAACCTTCATGTTGCATCATATAGTGAAATTGTCTAAGCTGACTATTACTGTTTCTAAGTGTATTTTCAGCAATCAGTAGACGGTCTAAAAGTTTTATATGGAATAGTTGATGGTACAGATATGTATGAATTTTAGGAAATATTTGATGATTCAAAACATTTGATCTTTCCTAATCCATATGTGCAGAACACTACTGAACAGCATTAGCAAATTAAATTCGAACAAACAATCTCATTAGAAATCAAAATAATCATTATTTTAACAAAATTAAATTCATTGCAAATTGAATTTTCTGCAATTTGTGAAAATTTAGACCATTCAATGAAGCTTCTATTACAAATCTCAAACTTTGGTGATAGAAAACAGATCAAATACAAACTGAAACTGACAGGAAATTTACATTCAACAATTCAGGGTTCACTAATTTCTTAATTTTGATTATGGTACATAGCATCTTTGACATTGCTAATAAACCTAGCAAAATAGTTTGAAAAAAAATACATATACAATAATCAACTCGAAATATAATTCTAAACTTGCATATAATTCTGTGCAGTTTGTTGAGCAGGCTCTGCTTTACGAAACTTGCTTAAAATTCTGTGCAATTTCTTCAGCAGTCACTGCCTTACTAAACTTGCATATAATTCTGTGCAATTTCTTCTAAATCTACAGTTTGTAGTGGTTCGTGTTCCTGTGTCGCTTCATTTTGTGGAGTATTTCCTGTTTCATGATGATCCTCCCGAGTTGCAGCAACTGCTGCAGCTTCAGCTTGAGCTAATAACTGTTCTGCAGCATTAGCTTCAGCTTGTTGCTGCTCCTCATCTGTGAATTGATGAGTCTCATTTTGTGCCTGCATGACTGCATGCTCAACATACTGCTGTTGTTGATTGGTTTGTGTCTGCTGTACGTAATGTTGCTCCACAAACTGCTGTCCTGCATTTGCTTGTTCCACAAACTGTTGCTCTGCATTTGGCTGCTCTACAAACTGCTGCTCTGCTGTTGGCTGCTCTACAAACTGCTGCTCTGCTGTTGGCTGCTCTACAAACTGCTGCTCTGCTGTTGGCTGCTCTACAAACTGTTGTTCTGCTGTTGGCTGCTCTACAAACTGCTGCTCTGGGTTTTGTTGTTCCACAAACTGCTGTCCTGCATTCGCTTGTTCCACAAACTGCTGCTCTGCGCTTTGCTGCTCCACAAATTGCTGCCCTGCTGTTGGCTGCTCTACAAACTGCTGCTCTGGATTTTGTTGCTCTACAAACTGCTGTTCATCATTTGGTTGCTCTACAAACTGCTGCTCTGCTGTTGGCTGCTCTACAAACTGCTGCTCTGCTGTTGGCTGCTCTACAAACTGCTGCTCTGCTGTTGGCTGCTCTACAAACTGCTGCCCTTCAGTTGGCTGCACTACAAACTGCTGCTCTCCGTTTTGTTGCTCCACATACTGTTGTTCAGCTTGCTGTGGCTGTAAAACTTGAACCTGTGTTCCCTGCACCTGTATGTATTGTGTAGTTCCATCTTCCTGTTGCTGTTCTACATAATGAGTAACTACTTCTCCAGTATTCACATTTGGCTGCATTACAGAACCAACAACTGACTGCACTGCTTCTGGTGGCAGATGTTGCATAACTGTAGCTAGTGGCTGTCCAACACTTGTAACAACTTGCACCACATTGCCAGCAGCATCGGTACCAACTTGTTGTATTATACCAGCTGCAACTTCACTAGAAATTGGGATGTGGGTTGTGCCTTCTAGGACATGCGAGGGATTGGCATCTGCCATTGCTCCTAGAGCTGCAACGGCTTCTGCACAAAGAGAAGCTTGAGGGTTATTGAGGCTTGGATCTGGTTCTATGATGACTTTTACATTCTGTCCTTGAATTCTAACAGCTTTATCCATAGGCCATGGCACCTGTCAATACAAAAACAGTTGTCACACATGAAAATGCTGTTTAGTATAGAAATACCAGATTAAGGAGGTTCTGCCAATTTTTTTTTTATTTAAAGGTAATTTTTCATGCTTTTATTATTAAGGATACAGAAAAATGGAATTACCAAACAATTTTCAAGAAAAACAAAAGCATAAACTATCGTGGGGTAAATAAATGGTAAAATGTATAATTTATTTTTTTTGTATTAGTTTTTTCGTATCATTATTTATATGAATCCTAATAATAGTATTTAATAGTATTTGTATTTAAGGTAGTGACTTCTGTGCCATAATGCCAACTCACTTTATAAACTTTATACATGAGTCAGTGAAATCATGACTACCGTAAAATCTGTATTAGAAGCCGCATCCCTAATAGAAGTCGCACCCATTCTTTTTGAATAATTGAGAACAAAAAAATTCATCATTTCTCATATGTGTAAATGTTCTAATAGAAGCCGCATTGCTTTTCACACACACACACACACATACAGCTGTCCCATGAGTTGTGGAGCCACCATTGGATTAACTTTTAATATAGTTGAATTAACTTTTAATATAGTTGAATTAACTTTTGATATAGTTGCGATATGAACTCTATTAAAACGCGTTCCTATATAGGGTTGCCCAGCATACCTTCGGGGGAAGGTATGGTATAATTATATTAATATTAATATAAACTGAACCATACCTTCCCCGATACTATCCGTAAGCTTCGCAAACCTGACTTAAATTTGATTAAATATTAATATAAATTATGAAACATTGTGGAGCCCCAAACTTGTACAAAAGGCTCCACTGTGTCTCTGGACTACTGGCTCTACTTCTACGTCTACACCAACACAAACACACACGCACAAACTTATATGGGCAAATTGTACCTTAATATTGACAGTTTCTTCAATGGGAGGCCCCACGTCATATTCTTCACCTTTGCTATGATGTTTCTTTTCATGTCCTCTCAGATAGTCACTCCTTGTGAAGGAATTCCCACAGAATTTACATCGATACAGTTTAGCACCTATTAATAGATGATGAAAGTAAGGAGATTCTAAAATGAATTATAAATAATTTTTTCTTCTGAGTACATTTTACATTCAATGACAAAGAAAGTTTACCACAATTTAGCTAAAACATTTTATGTTTTTAGCTTAGTCTCTAAGAGTCAGTTTATGTACCCCTTTAATAAAACTGATTTTGCAGAAATCCTGAGTCAAACTGAATAATAATTTGAGGTAGTTTGTTAACTGCTGTTGAGAGAGGTCTTCAAAAAACAAAGAAAATAGTATGTGACTACAGTAAGATGTTTTTCAAGATTACTATATCAAGGTATGATTTTCCGTTGCGTCAATGATGCACCAGTGCTTCTAGGAGTGATGTATTACATATTTGTGAAAATGCAACTTGAATTCTTTAATAATATTTTCCATACCTGTATGATAAATCAGATGTCTTTTATAATCTATGACAGCGATGAATCTTTTGTTACAGCCAGGTTTAGGGCATATGTATGGAGCTTCTCCTTTATGTCGGCGCTCATGATAGGATCTTGAACTACGACGACTGAATGTGGCTGGACAATAACGACACTGTAATTTGATCTTTCCAGCTAGAAAAAGGGAAAACACAATTGATTATCATTACTATGTACAACGCCTGTATTCTGTCCAACTGTGTTGGATGGTACCCCGGTTAAACACAACATATCCATGTGACCATTTAAAACAAGATTTGCTTACTTAAATGACAGATGTGTATCTATATCCACTTTAATTGGTGCAAAATACAATTTTTGGTTCATGTACGCTTGTATTACAGATGTACTTGTAGCACACTGATTGAATTCTCCCATACCTACCCCTATCCCAATCTGAATAGTGTTTGTCTCAGTACCGACCTAATCTACCAATTAAAACCAAGTTAATAGGTCTAAACTACTCATTGTGATCCATCTATAACCAATCAATAAAACTTGTTGCAAACCTTATTCATGAAGCCAAAACAACTCACTACAGTGACACTACTTGTAAACTACTTGTAAACAACTTTTCAAAATGTTACAAAAACATTTACATGCATGACTGTGTACTTAGTAGTAAGTTATCACCTACATGTATTCCATAAACTACATTTTTACACCTTGACATGCCACAATCTTTTCTTGAATAACTTGACAATCAAATCAAAATTGATCAGAGAAAGGTTGGATTGTAAAGACAATATTTTTTATTACTGATCACCATTTCAAACCACTTACAGACAAACTTTTCAATCAAATCTTGTGATCTAGATATGCCAACCACCTTGCAAATTGACACATTATTGCAAAATGTAACAATAATGACTCACTATCCTACTGGACAATCTCTTCAATATTTATATCGGCTCTTGTAAAACCACTCATAAAGAAATCATTGTCCAACCTAAACAATCTTAATTGCCCAGTGTCAAATGAATGAAAGAATTCAAATCATACCTGATGTGTGCATTTCTATTTTGTGGTCTCTAAGTTCAGGTCTTGTCTTAAAAGCTCTGCCGCATACATCACATAGTTCATTTTTCTCTGTTGTATGTGTTAATAGATGTTCTTTTAGCTTACCAAGCTTTACCCAACCTTTACCACACATCTCACATGTAAATGGTCTGAAAAATACACATTTAAATAACAGTTCTACATGTTAGTACTAAAAAAAAAAAATTGGGTTCACACATTTAACTTTAACTATTGTATTTTCACTGGGAAAAGAGTTGGTTAGTTACTGCCCATGATGTATCCCGACAGCAAATAGTACCTGGTATAGTATTTTAAAAAAGTATTCTACTTATTTGGTAGTGCTCTGCTGTCAGAAGTCCTCAAAAAGCTGATAAGTTTGACACTTACACAAGACATTCTCTTAACAAGGGAATATGCTACATTAGTAATATGCTTGATTTAACAGGGCTTCAAGTTAGGTATCCTGACGATGCGCAATTTACACAACCAAACTGGTATATCATTTGACTAATTGATGATAAATCTACATTTGTACAATATATTGAGCAAGGCATATGAGTGTTCTAAAGAGAGCAGATTTTGTGTTGTTTTGTCTTCACGAATGCCATTAAATCACGAAAATTCCTTGCAGCAAATGGTTTATAGTAATCATTCTTACCTTTGATTTGTATGTACTCTTTGATAATGGTAATTCATTGTAGTTTCTGATGCAAATGCTTTATTACAGTTTTCTATAGGACAGACAAAGGCACGATTTGGATTTATGCTATGAACCTCCTTTAAATGTTCACCACGTTCCTCTGGAAAAACAAAAATAGGATCAATAATTACTCATG